ATCTCATAAAGCTTCATATCTCAACAGGAGACTCTAACATTCCAATCCAATTGCAGTAATAAGATCATGCCCTATATTATCTTGGATCTCCTAAAATCAAGAGAGGTGTCGTGGGTTCGTCATGGAAAATTAGCATAAAGGAAGTACTTGTCTTGTAAAACCAGTATAGTGGTTATTTTGCATACTGACAATTCAGTACAACGATGTAGGTTCAGCCCCAATGATTCATGATAGTGTCGAGACTTGTCCTGAAGCAAGTACTGCGTAAAGGTTTTTTGGGCCAAATATACCCAACCATCGACCTGGTACAGCGTAAGTTACGGTCCGTTTTGCATGGCTGGCGCAAAAACAGACCGCGCCAATCTGTAAACACATCATTGCTGTAATCACTACCAATGAGCATGCGCCGCTAACTTAACACGCGGGAAATGCACGACGGACTTTGCAAGATGCTGTTGGCACGCGCTTCCTTCCTGGCCATGAAACAAGACCCTTATCCAACCCACACCCACATCGTCATCCACATCAACAAAACTATACGCGGCGCCATTCCCTGTGATGCGATGTTGAACCTTTTGGAGTCAAGCGTGCACTGCCAGCGTATACCTGTTGTCAAGCGCCTTGACTCCTATTGTCGCGGCGCCATGTGTTTGGGGTTGGGAAGGTGAACATACCAGATCTTCTGTCTCCTCCTCCATCCTCTCCAGCCTGCTGTTCAGTCTCTACCAAACCCGAGCTGCACCACCAAGATTCCTAGTTTTCTCCATGGTTTTGCTAACTACTCGTCGATGTATCTCTGATTACAACCTTCCCGCGCTGACCGCCTATGGCCGAGCCATCGCCGGCGGGCAATGGTGAAGCTCGCGCCATGCCTAACCTCACGACCAGGCCCGTAGGTTTGACAGGCCTTTTTTTTTTACATAATACGCCCTTACAGCCTCCTCCATTGCCTCCCCCAACACTAGTACAAACCGGAGTCGCAGCACATTCCCTCCCATCGCCGTCGCAGCCACCAACGCTGTCTCTTGCGACAGCTGCACCGGTCATGGTTGATAATGAGCCGCTCCCCCAGCCATTTCGCAAGCAAGGGGAATGCTCTAAGGCTGTCGGGCAAGGGACAACCAAGAAAGGACCTCCGAACAAGAAGAACTCCGTGCAACGGTACCACCAGACAAAGCAGTTGTTTGTTCGTACATCATACAACCCTGTCGTTATACTAGTTTCCAGGCAAGATTAGGAACCTACCACCGAACCAACAGTGCTTGTCAAAATCGCTGCCACTGCTTCGTCTGACACCAGACATCCCGACATCGCAAAGAACAAGTACCAGGAAGCTTTACTCATGTTTAAAAATCAATGGAATGAAAAATTCTCTTCGCTATTTTTTTGTCAGACCTCGTTTGGATTCCCATCAATGAAATGCACAGTGTGTATGGAGTATGGAGGCGCAGGAACTAACTTCAGGAGAGGCGAGTCAGTCCTTGATATGCAAACTCAAGCCATGCAATGACATCAAGGAACCACGAAGCACAAGGAAGCCATTCGCAACCAGGAGCTGGTGTTGACGAATATTAACAGGTAACATCGCATCGCCAGTTGCCCGAAAGCGCGTGACGTGGAGCATGATTTTCTGGAGGCGCTGCTGGATAATCTGCTCTTCACAAAGACAGACGCACCCCATAGAGATGTGGGTGCTGTGAGAAGAATAGCGAGGAATGGATTGACTAGAAAACAGGTGGGTACAAGTAGGAAACCTAAATGTGTTGTACCCCATGTTATCTACCCCACTACAGCCTACATAAACTATAGCATATAAGTTTGACACACCCCCATAGGCAAAGTGGGGGAGAACAAGAGGTCACAAGACCAGTCAACAAGAGCAAAGCAAGCTCAGGGTGGATCACAAAGTCACCACGCATTCCGAGCACAAGCATAAGGCCATAAGACCAGTTCACACGCACAGTTCTATATCTAGGTAAACAAGCAAGACAGTGATCTCAACCTAGCAAGGGTAAGCATGCAAGAGCAGGAATATATAGACTACAATACAAGCAAGGTCAAGAAGTGAGCAAGTGAGGCCAAGTAGGCACAAGACCTAGCATAGTACAAAAGCGCTGATGATCACAAGGCTGAAGTGCCTTGGTGAAAACATTAGCAGTGTTGGCACGAGTGGCCACGTAAGCAAGACAAAGCTGACCCCGCTGCTTCAACTCTCGAGCAAGGAAGTAGCGCAAAGAAATGTGCTTCGTTCTGTGCTCCAATATGTGCTTCTGACACAAGGCAAGCATGGCCTTGTTGTCGATGTAAAGAACTAGAGGAGAACGAGGCGCCTCTCCCAAGTCGGTCAGCAGGTAGGTGAGCCAGCGTAACTCCTGTGCAGCCAGGGCTCTGGCGTAGATCTCAGCCTCACAACTCGAGACAAGCGGGTAGACCGCCATGTAACCGAGCCGGAACCAAGGCTGAAGGTGTAACCCTGTGACGACCGCTGCGTAGCCAAGTCGTCAACCCAAGAAGCGTCTGCGTGCCCAGTGAGGACAACTTGAGCCCGTCCTCCAAAAACGAGCCCCATGCCCAAGGTACTGCACAAGTAGCGCAACACCCTCTTAGCTGCATCCATGTGCTCTGGTCGGTGTCTCCCAGGAGCAACATAGTGTGCCAGGATGCTAAGAGGGTATGCCAGGTCAGGTCGAGTGAATTTCATCAGGTACATGAGGCAGCAAACAAGCTCTAGGTACGGGCCACTCGGCTCTACGGACTCATCCGAAGGCAGAGCTGAGAGCGAGTGGCGAGTAGACAGAGGAGTGGCCTCAGGCGAGGAGTACATGAACTTGAAGCACTGAAGGACCTGCTGCACCATGTGTGATTGAGTCAAGGTAATGGTGCGCCGTGCTCTGTCCCGGGTGATCTGCAAGCCAAGATAGTTGCGCAGCTCACCCAGGTTGGTGCACATGTATCTCTTCTACAGCTCCGACTTCACGTGGGCGAGTCCAGCAGTGTCAGCAGTAGCGAAGACCAAGTCATCGACGTACACGAGGATGTAGAACGACAGCTGAGTAGTGTCGGCGCGAAGAAACAGCGACGGGTCAGCAGTGGAAGGAGCAAAGCCAAGAGCCCCAAACGTAGTCCTCAGTGTGTCGTGCCACTCACAGGGCGCCTAGCGGAGACTGTAGCCTAGCCGCCGGAGGCTCCACAGGGTGCCAGGAGGAAACGACCCAGTGAAGCCAGGTGGGGAACGCAGCCAGATCTCCTCGTGCAGGCTGCCTGTAGGAAGGCTTTGCTGAAGTCAAGAGAGTGCAGCTTGTAGTCACGCTGAGCAGCGATGTGCAGCAGTATCCGAAGAGTGGTCATCTTCAGGGTGGGAGAGAAGGTCTGAAAGTAGTCAACTCCCTGTCGCTGAATGAAGCCTCGACCACGTAACCCACCTTGAAGACAGGCGGAGAACCCGGCGGCCGCTTCACCCTCGCATGCCATCAACAATGTTCGCCCTAGATGGGGGAACCTCGTCGACTTAAGTGCCTGTGGACTTCTTGGATGCCATCTTTGCGTCCATGGCTGTCTGCCACTGAGAGGAGTAGGGACCCTCTATCGCCTCTGCGTAAGAGCGCGGGGTCGGGATGTCTGGTGCATTCGGGTCTCCCTCAGGGGCAACCAGCAAGGACACGAGATGAGGTAAAGTAGCACCAAAGCATTGGAACTCCTCCTGCCTGTCCTCAAGGACGTCTGTGCTAAGAGCACACTCACCCCCGACGGACAAAGGACAGACAGACTCAAACTCAGCAACAAGACTAGCGGCGTAGTCGAGACGATAGTGAGCAGCAAAATCGACAAGCTCAGCAACAAGAGCAGACGCATCAGTAGACTCAAAGGAAGGGTTAGTGACAACAGTGGCCAAGAGACGCGTGACAGTAGGACTAGACCACGAAGGGAGTTAGACTCTGGGTCAGCAAAGGCACGAAGAGAAGACGCAGGAGGAGACGGCAACGGGACACGCTCCGGAGCAGTGGAAGGACGCTGAGCCATCTAGTGCGTGCCAGAGACAGGAGGAGGATGCTGACGCGAACAACAATGAGTAGTGCAAGCAGCACAAACAGGCGACGCAGAACGAGACTCAGGCGCACGACGCTCAGCAGGACCTCCAGTCGGACCAGTGTAAGGAGAAGGAGCAGGTAGTGGGGAGGCGGGCTGTAACTGTGACTGCGACTGGACAGGCGATGGACACTCTAAGGAAGGAGCAGGACCAGTAGAAGGCGGGAGACCAAGAACCTGCTGAAGGAGCGGAACGAAATACGGCCGCGGCTGCGCGGCGCCTCCAGAACAAGCATTAATAGCACCAGCACCCCCAGCGTCAGCTCCAACTCCAGCAGCACCACCAGCACCAGCAGCACCTCCGGCAGCTCCATTAGCGCCAACACCAGCACCCCAAGGAGCACCGGCTCCAGCAGTGCCTCCAGCTCTAGTACATCCAGCAGCTCCAGCTCCAGTAGGACCTCCAGCAGCCTTAGCAGCTCCAGTAGCGCCAGGGCCAGCGCCCCCAACAGCACCTACTCCAGTAGCACCGCTAGCTCCAGGACCTCCAGCAGCTCCAGCCCCAGCAGCACCACCAGGCCTAGCAGCTCCAGTACCCCCAGTTTGAGCACCTCCAAGACTAGTGGCTCCAGAACCCCCAGCAGCTCCAGCAGCAGCAAGACCTCCAGCGTTCATAGCACTTCCAGCTCCAGCAGCACGGCCACAGCATCGAGCAAACCACTGGCAAAGCTGCTGTGGAGACAGTGGCTCCCGACGGGACAAAGAACTTGAAGGACCTCCAGGCGCAGCACCTCCGGACTCCACACGCGCAGGCTCAGCACCCAGAGGCTTCGCACCCCTAGAATCAGCAACACCAGGCTCAGCACCCCCAGGCTCTGCACGCTTAGGCTCAGCACCCCCAAACCCGACACCCGAAGGCTCAGCACCCCTAGGAGCACCAGAGTCAACAGCTACCTTGACAGGCTCGACCGCGTCTACCTGGAACACACCAGAGGGGGCAGGATTTTGAGGGAGGTGGTCTACCGAGGGAGGACCTGGCGCGAGGAAGAGCGGCGGAGGGGGGAGGGGGGCAGTGCGGTAGGGGAAGAGACGGTAGTAAGGAACCGACTCGTCAAACGTGAGGTCCTAAGAGGGCAGGACACGGCGCGAGGTGGGGTGGTAAAACTGCCAGCCAGGCGCGTCAGGAACAAAGGAGGACGCAGAGAATAGCCCAGGCGGAGAGGAATGAGGAGCGGCGCGCTGCCGCCCCTCGACGCAAGGAATGCAGGTAGGGGCAGGCCCTGGGGGAAGGGGAGGGAGAGACCGGGGAAGACCAGTGACAAGGACACGGGAGGCCATGCCTCGGAGACGAGGCATGGAGGGGTGACCAAGGCGGTGGTGCCAGAAGAGTGTCTGGTGAGACAAGAGGCGACACGAGCAGGGGCAGACTCAGGACCAGACTGAGACGCTGCAGCAAATATCGACCCGACACGGCTACCTGACCAGACTCAGCAACCGGAGGAGACACGGAAATCAGGGTGTACAGGCTCGACCCAGGCTGATGGGTGAACGTGGCCAGGTGCCGGCCTGTCCAAGTACACAAACATTGGGTCACCCGCTGACCTCCAGGAGTGAACTGATCAACCCACGCGTCCAGAAGGTCAGCTCCACTCACCAAGTTCGTGGAGAACCAGGGGAGGCGGAGGCCAGACAGAGAGCCAGACGGGACTGCCGGAGAAGGCAGGACGGTGGACGAGTGTGCAAGGACCGGACCCCCAGAGGGGTCAGCCAGGGAGACCGCCAATGGCCGTCTGAGCGGTGTGAGTGTGGTGCAGTCGCAAAAGAAGGAACGGGAAGCACCCGAGTCAAGGGTGAAAGTGTGCAAGACTTGAGCCGACGCGGTACCTGACAGAGCGGACTCACCAGCACCTGGAGCAGCAGACTCACTAGCAGCTAGAGCATCAGCCTCTATGCCCGGGTCGGGCGGAACACACAGGTAAAAGTCATCCTCAGCACTAATAGTCACAGCATACATAGCAGCAAGGATAGCATCATAGTCAAGATCAAAGATAGCAACACCAGACTTAAGCAGATCACCCCAGAGAGGGAGCTCAGTGGCGTCACAAAACTATGCATGCCAGGCGTCAGTCAAGCGGCCAAAACAGCGGTGCGTGGCGTGCGGGCCTTCGTGCGTCTCCCCACTGCGCTCGCCGGTGCGGAGAACGTACGCGCACGGACCAGCACCCCTAGACCTCCCACGCCCAGCATACCACTCACGAAGCTACTGAGGCGACAGGGTCTCATGAGGACGCTGCTGCTGCTTGCGCTGGCCACCACCAAAGCCTCCCTGCTGCCCAGCGCCACTCCGACCAGAACCACCGCCGCCGCCACCCCCACTGCCACTACTGCCGCCGCCACCCCCACCGCCGCTGCCGCCGCCGCCCCCGCCGCCACCACTGCCCCACTCCCGCCACCACCCCCACCTCCACCCCCACCCCCTCCGCCGCCCCCACCGCCACCACCGCCGCCCCCGCCGTCTCCTCCAACACCCTTGCCCCCCTTGCCATTGCCGCTGCGGCGCTTCCGACTAGGAGCAGACGCAGCGCCGACCGACTCGGTGCCAATAAGGTCGACAGCAGCAGCAGAGGCAACACAAGACAAAAGGGGAGCGAGGGAGCACCCCTCAAAGAAGGGGCACGAGGGTCACCACGAGAGGCTCCTACAGCAACTATACTCTTCTCAGCTGCAAGGAGGCGCTCCTCGAGTAGGTCAACGGTGAGCGTGGTGGGGCAAAGGGAGAGGAAGTGGTCCCTAACCGAGCGAAGGGAGTGAGGGAGCCAAGTGACGAGGTAGTAGAGAGTGATGTAGATAGGGGGGGGGGGGATTCTTGGCACAGAACTCAGCAGGAAGCGCAGCCGGTAGAGGGTGTCACTAGTGCGGAGGTTTGTAATGTGGTCAGCGACTGTGGCAAAAGCAGCTAGATCAGGGAACAAGTATGGCAGCATGAGGCGGCTAAGGGCAGCAGTCGCAGGAGATGAGTAGCTTGCAATAACAGCGTCGTACAGAGTCTGAGGAGTCTTGTCCTGGCTAAAGTGCGCACGCTCAGCAGACGGCAGGTGACTACGGACAGCAAGACGGGCAGCAGCATCGCGCGTGGTCCACTGTGAGCGAACTGCACTGTCAGCATCGGCAGCAGGTGCAACAGCGACGCCGGACGTGTGATCGAATAGTGAGATTCTGTCCCTAGAGTTGCAGTGCAAGAAAAGCTGCAGATCATCGACCCGGACCTCGAAATGGACTGCTCGACCCTCAGCATCGAAGGTAAGGGCATTAGGGTTAGCCATAATAGCAGGAGCAGCAGCAGTAGCCTAGGAGCAGCAGTAGCAGTAGCAGCGCGACTCGGCAGGGCGGTGCGGCTCGGTAGGGCGGCGCGGCTCGGCAGGGCGGCGCGGGTGCGGCGGTGCGCGGGTGCGGCAGTGCACGGGTGCGGCGGTGCGCTTACCAGTGGCGGGAGTGCAGGGCCGCTACTGGTGGGGCAGGGCCGGGGCTCGCCAGCAGGGCAGGGGCCTTTACAAGGAGGGGCCGCGACAAGGCGGCAGGGCAGGGCCGCAACACAGCTGCAGGGCCAGGGCCGCGACGAGGCAGCAGGGCAGGGCCGCGACAGCAAGGCCTCAGCGGCGACGACGGCGGCTGTCGCATCGGCGGCTGCAGGCTCGACGGCGGCAGCAGGGCCGCTATGGCGGAAGCAGGGGCGACGGCCGCTGTAGGCCACGGGGCCTCGGCGGCTGCTGCAGGGCAGGGGGGTCACGACAGCAGCTGCAAGGCAGGGGCTGCGACAGCCGCTGCAGGGTAAGGGGTGGCGACGTGAGGCGGCAGGTTAGGGGCCGCGACGAATGGCGGCAGGACAGGGCCGCGACGAAGGGCGACAAGGCTGTAGAGGCCTGCGACGACGAGCGAGTGGGCCGCGCAGGGCCGCGGCGACGGCAGGGCGGGCCGCTAAGGGCCGCGACAGGCCTAAAGGGCAGGGCCGCTACGGCGGCAATAGGTCAGAGTGCGATGCGCGCTTCGGGAAGGGCAGAAAAAAAAAATCGAAGTGGTGGGCCCTAAAAAAAACGGTACCACTAGGGAACCCGCTCTATACCATGTGAGAAGAATAGCGAGGAATGGATTGACTAGGAAACAGGTGGGTACAAGTAGGAAACCTAAATGTGTTGTACCCCATATTATCTACCCCACTACAGCCTACATAGACTATAGCATATAAGTTTGACAGGTGCATCACGTCCAGCACCTTGGATCCCGTGGAAATCGTGAATTCCCAAAGAACGGTTACGGCACGTATTATACAACCCAAGTAAATTACTATTTTTTTCTATTTTTTTTACAATTACGTACTTTCATACTTCCGGAATATACAAGATGTTGTATACTAATCCGTGTCTTCGCATGTACGGGTGAAGGCATTCACGTACTTTGCAAGGCATTCACGCCGTTCGGTGGTTAAGCCGCAGTCACGCCGTAGTAAGCTTCGTGAAGGTGCTGTTAGAGACTAAGGACGGAGTTGTGAAGAAATGAGGAATGAATGACTAAAGAGAATGTGGGTACAAGTAGGAAACCTAGAAATGTTGTACCCTATAGTGTCTACCCCACTACAGCCTAAATAGACCATAGCATACAAGTTTGACACACCCCCATAGGCAAAGTGGGGGAGAACAAGTGGTCACAAGACCAGTCAAGCAAAGCAAAGCAAGCTCAGGGTGGATCACAACGTCACCACACATTCCGAGCACAAGAGCAAGGCCACAAGGCCAGTTCACATGCAAGATCATACATAAAGGTAAACAAGCAAGTGCAGGTATAGAAAGATCACAATACAAGCAAGGTCAAGAAGTGAGCAAGTGAGGCCAAGTAGGCACAAGACCTAGCATCGTACAAAAGTGCTGATGATCACAAGGCGGAAGGGCCTTGGTGAAGATATCAGCAGTGTTGGCCTCAGAGGCCATGTAGGTGAGGCGGAGCTGACCACGCTGCTGCAGCTCACGAGCAAGGAAGTAGCGAAGAGCAATGTGCTTCGTTCTGTGCTCCAGTCTGTGCTCCCGACACAAGGCGAGCATGGCCTTGTTGTCTACGTACAGAACTAGAGGAGAACGTGGCGGCTCTCCTAGGTCAGTCAGCAGGTATGTGAGCCAGCGTAGCTCCTGTGCAGCCATGGCCCCTGCGTAGACCTCAGCCTCACAGCTGGAGCCAAGAACAGAAGACGAGCGGGTAGACCGCCACGAAACAGAGCCAAAACCAAGGCTGAAGGTGTAACCCTGTGACGACCGCTGCGTAGCCTGGTCGTCAGCCCAAGAAGCGTCAGCGTGACCTGTGAGAACCACTGGTCGCCCTCCAAGCACTAGCCCCATGCCCGACGTACTGCACAAGTAGCGCAACACCCTCTTTGTTGCAGCCATGTGCTCTGGTCGGTGTCTCCCAGGAGCAACATAGCGTGCCAAGATGCTAAGAGGGTATGCAAGGTCAGGTCGTGTGCAGGTCATCAGGTACATGAGGCAGCCAACAAGCTCTGGGTACGGGCCACTCGGCTCTACGGACTCATTCGAAGGCAGAGCTGAGAGCGAGTGGCGAGTAGACAGAGGAGTGGCCTGAGGCGAGGAGTACGTGAAGTCGAAGCGCTGAAGGACCTGCTGCACCATGTGTGACTGAGTCACCGTAATGGTGCGCTATGCTCTGTCCCGCATGATCTGCAAGCCAAGGTAGCTGCGCAGTTCACCCAGGTCTGTGTACGTGTGTCTCTTCTGCAGCTCGGACTTCACTTGGGCGAGTCCAGCAGTGTCAGCAATGGCAAAGACCAAGTCGTCGACATACACGAGGATGTAGAACGGCGGCAAAGAGGTGTCGGTGCGTTGAAACAGCGACGGGTCGGCAGTAGAAGGAGCAAACCCAAGAGCCGCAAGTGTAGTCCTCAGTGTGTCGTGCCACTCACGGGGCGCCTGGCGGAGACCGTAGACTGGCCGCCCGAGGCTCCACTGGGTACCAGGAGGAAACGACTCAGTGAAGCCAGGTGGGCGGCGCACCCAGATCTCCTCGTGCAGGCTGCCCTTCAGGAAAGCTGTGCTGAAGTCAAGAGAGTGAAGCTCGTAGTCGCGCTGAGCGGCTATGTGCAGCAGCAACCGAAGAGTGGTCATCTTCATGGTGGGAGAGAAGGTCTGAAAGTAGTCAACTCCCTGCCGCTGACTGAAGCCTCGAGCCACGTAACGCGCCTTGAAGACAGGCGGAGAACACGGCGGCCGCTTCACCCTAAAAATCCACATGCCACTGACGATGTTCGCCCCAGGTTGGGGAACCTCGTCGAGGTAGGTGCCTGTGGACTTCCATGAAGCCATCTCTGCGTCCATGGCTGACTGCCACTGTGAGGAGTAGGGACCCTCGATCGCCTCAGTAGCACCTCCAGCTCCAGCAGCACGTCTCCAGCGCCGGGCAAACCACTCGCGCAGCTCCTGCGGAGAGGGTAGCTCCCGCCTCAACCAAGCACCGCTAAAGGCCACACGAGCAGACCCAGCACCCCCACGCTCCGCACCCCCACGCTCCATACCCCCAGGCTCAGCACCCCCAAGCTCCGCACCCCCAGGCTCAGCACCCCCAGACCCGGCTCGCGCAGGCTCAGCACTCCTAGCAGCAACAAAGTCAACAGCTACCTCGACAGGCTTGACTGCGTCTACCTGGGACACACCTGACGGGGCAGGACCCTGAGGGGGGAGAGGGTCTACCAGGGGAGGACCTGGCGCAAGGAAGAGCGGCGGCGGGGGGAGGGGCGCACTGCGGTAGGGGAAATGACGGTAGTAAGGCACCGACTGGTCATAGGTGATTTCGTGGGAGGACAGAACACGGCACGACATGGGGTGGTAAAACTGCCAACCACGCGCGTCAGGGGGGAAGCCAAGGAAGACGCAGGGAACAGCACGGGGGGACAGCTTGTCCGCAGACAAGTCGCGGACAAACGCCCGAGATCCCCTGACACGAAACGCAGACGCATCGCCAACCTTCCCCGTCCACCGCAAGGTGGGGGAGGTCTCTGGCAAGGAGACCCGGGGCTAAAGGTTGAGCTGATGCGCTGCGTACTGAACCATAAACGGCCACAGAAAATGGAGAGCAGCCGCATGGATCATGGACGTCCATGACCATGCCAATGCGGCGCTCAGCAATCCCATTTTGCTGTGGAGAGGCCGGAAGTGTGAAGGTCTGGCGGATGCCCTGGGCACGGCAGAAGGCTCCGAGACGGGTAGAGGAAAACTCCCCGCCTCTTT